GTTGTCTTGAGTAAAAATCAGCAGTAACTGTGAGCAGACAGTCAGTACTTCTGATATACTGCATGCAAAATATGTTTTATCTAATGTCGTTTAAAGTTTTACTGTTATTATGTCTATGTATCTGATGCATGTCAATATTGTAAGTTTGCAAGGGCTACAGATTAGAAATAAAACCACAAAATTACCCAATTTATCCAATGTTATGTTCGCATTTTGTAAATGTTTTTTGTATTATCCTTTACAGAATAAAATTTCCCAAACTATTTTTATTTTGTTATTTCTGTCCCCTTGCTCTAAAACCTGTTCTTTTGTTTGTTATTACTAAGCTCTGCGCACATCAACAATTAATAAATAATATAATTAATAGTCTGTAAGATGATCAGACAGTGTTGGTCATGAATTAAAAATGTATTAGAGGAGCCACTAGTCGTGGAGCATAGATCATATAGTTGCAATAACAATCGAGGAAAAATTAGATTTAAGATGAAGCAATCCTGTATTTACTAAGTAAAATAACACATCACAATGTGTTGGGGTCTTGTCTATTGAACCTATTTGCGTTCAATAGGTTCAGTTATTTTACGGATAAAGTTTTTCTTGTTTGCATGTATCACGGTAACTCGATTACAGCTCAATCTCCTTCCTGTTAAGCTCATGTTTTTCATCCGTGTCTCCTATCAGTTGCTCTCCTCCCATGTCTACCGTGGTATTTAAGTTAGTCATGGCTTTTGTCTGTCCCAGGTTTCTTTTACATCTTATGTCTGTTATTTGGTCAAGTCAAGTCTCTGAAATACATCTATGTTCGCATTTTGGCTCACCTTTATTTCCTTCGCTGCCAACCCTGAAAAGACATGCTTAATTTGTCTGCATTTTTAATTGAGTTAATCGCAGGCTTCTACTTACTTGCATTGTAAGTGAAAACCATATATCAATATTTCAATTCACAAACTATTTTTGCTGCTAAATTATTGGATAATTAGACATGTAATCTCAAAATTAAATGTTTTGCTTTACCTGATACTTAGGTTATTGAACCTCATTCAGTTTTCAAGCGTTTCAGGAATCCTTGATCATTCATGTAACTTTGTTGAAAAATATTTTTTTAGAAATACAAACTGTAGATGCTGACATTTCCGTTGGACGTCTAGTTTGCTGCAACATGTTTACTAGTAGCCAATTGTCAGTTAGTTTGTGCTTTTGATGACATCTAAGTACAGATGTTGAACCTGCCATTGTTCACACAATGGAGGGCATCTGAAGATGGCATTCTCTACTTTGTGAAAACAGACCCTGTCTGGAACATTAGGTATGAAAAAAAAAGGAGGCAGTATACTTTTTATTTTGCCTACAATATATCTGACCTAGAATTTGTGAAAAATAGGCTTTAGAAATTGGACACATGCCTTAGAAAACAATAAAGGACTTTGAAAAACAAGCATAGTTCCTCAAAAGGCAATTAATCAGCCTGTGGTGGAAATTAATTTGCATTAAAGGTACAGAGATCTGAAGCAGGTCATCATGAAAGGAAACCAAAATAGGCAAAACTGAGAAGGTGAAATTTCATTGTCTATAATTTTGTGCAAAAACTATATAAAGGGCATATTTGTTTAGGCCTAACTTGATTAAAAGGAAGCACACTAGGTAACCTTTAAAAAAACTTTAGTTTCGTCTTTTGCCTCCATTTACGTCCAAATTAGCCTAGCCATAGCCTTCCTGAGTTATTCTGTCTCTTAAAATCACAGGTCAACTCAGACATACCACAGCAAACCACACTCATATCACATTTCAACTGTGGTTATATGATACAAGTTTTATGATAGTTGGACAAAAGTAGAAGAAAACCCGAGTCTCGAATAACCCGCACACAAACTGTTTAACAGAATTCATTACCAATATGCCGACAAGAGTTACTATTTACGGAGAAGTGATACTTTAAGAAAACTTTTGGCCTCCAAGGTTTTATGAACTTGGTAAGCTGCAGCAATATTTTTGAGTTAATGAGTCCCATGGAGAATACGTGAATATAATAAAAAACCTTTGTGCTCCAAGACCAACTGCTTTGCACATCTGGAGAGGAACAGACGACAAACACTGTCCAATTCCTTTGAATTTTTAAAAGTGAAACCATTGCCATTTTCTGTTCATGATGTTATCATGTTTGTGTACAGCATATTTATGGATGGGAAAATTAATGAAACGTATTTAACTCTCGACGGACATGTAGAGTTGCATAAATACAAGTATCTGTATTTTGTTGTCACACTGACTGTGTATATTTTTATTGTTATTGCTAACCTGACCATTGTGTATGTTATATGGATGCATGAACACCTCCATGAGCCCATGTACATTTTCATCGCAGCTTTGCTTCTGAACTCTGTTGTTTTCAGCACCAACATCTATCCAAAAGCTTTCAGATTTTCTATCAGAAAAACAGATTATATCTTATCCGGCTTGTTATGTGCAGTTTTTTCTCTTCTATTGTTTGGGCGCTTCAGAGTTTTCCCTGCTGGCGGCAATGGCCTATGATCGTTATGTATCTATATGCAAACCTCTGCAATATGCAACAATAATGGGAAGAACTACAGTGAGTATTTACTTGAGTTTAGCTTGGCTGGTGCCTGCTTGTCTGATTGCAGTTATGGTAGTACTGAATGTTAATGTGAAGCTCTGTAAATATAACATAAACGGAATTTTATGTAATAATTCAATCTACGGACTCCACTGTGTCGACTCGAAGGTGCAAACTGTGTTTGGTGCTGTTGTGCTGGTTTTGACTCTGTTGTTTCCTTTGCTTTTTATAGTTTTACTTACACCAGAATATTTATTATATCCTATCACAGCTCTAAAGAAGTCAGAAAGAAAGCTGCTCAGACCTGCTCGCCCCACTTGTTAGTGTTGATCAGTTTCTCCTGTTTGTGTGCGTTTGATGTCATTATAGCTCGAATGGGATCCGACCTCACCAAGGCTGTACGTTTAATAATGACTTTACAGGCAGTTTTGTATCATCCTCTATTTAATCCAATCATATACGGTTTAAAAATGAAGGAAATATCTAAACAATTGAAAAGGTTGTTCTCTCAAGCTAAAGTAATACACTCCTAAAGTTTATTATGTCAACGTGAAATTATTTGACACATTCTTATACATTTGTATTGTTATGCAAAATAAGTAAATGTGCTATGATTTACAAAAACCTTTTCATGAAGAGCAATGTTGTCTAACTAATGTAAATTTTCTGGTTAAATTTTGCATAGCTTCTCTCTTAAGGTTGTGTTGGAAAAAAAAACCTATGGTTTATATACACAAAAGTGTAAAAAAACATGAAATAAAAATCTGATCCGGAGAAAGTGAGTTAAAGTTGGCCTAAAGTATAAAGTAAATTAAAGAGAAAGAACTGTAGAGTGTCTTAAAATAATTAACATTACCCGACTCTTTTGACTTTTGAATTAAAGCCATTTTTTCTTCATTAAAAACCTCTGACTATGTTGTTTTTATGTCAATGGTGTATTCCTGCTCAAGCATGATTATATATAATACATAAATTTAATTCCACTTAATACTTGACTACTGTTCAATAAAGCTATACTGATGAAGCCTACATATTACAGGTTAACTGTGTTTTCACTGCTTTAATATCTGAGATAAGTCAGAAAAAACTGCGACAGCAGTATGTATGTATGTCCATTATGTCCATACATAATGGACATTATGTATCACGTTGGGATTTTTATTGTGTTTCAGATTCCGAGGCGGTGTTTGACGTAAATTTTACATGTATAAATCGTGTGCACACAGAAATGACAGGTATCTCAGGTATCAAATGCATAGCAAATGCATGGTTAAAGGGCTGCTCAGGTGAACCTACAAAGAAACTTGGTACTTTCAACTTTCACTTAAAATTAATCAAAAACTCAAACCAACAACTCCAGAACAGTCATGCAGACGAGTCACTAAAAGTCACTACAATGTGGTCATATTCCGTTTTGACGAATGCCAGCCACTAAAGGCAGCTTGTCCTTTTCAATACAGCACTAACTTTAAATTGAATTTAGCAAAAATATCTGCATTTCGACTGATCACACAATTGCACTAATGGAAACAAGCTAATTTTGACAAAACTCACAAATTTTGACATAAAGCTGTCGCTTAGGATCAGGTTTTTTTTTTCAGCCATCTTGAAACAGATGTATTTAGCAAACCTACAATGGACACACTTTTTTGCATCACATTTGTCTTGTAATCAACAGCTGCATGTTACTGCCGGCCATGTTTTATGCGTCAATCGTATTGAAGAAGAGGTTCCTACTCTTTCCTTTACCCCAACTCCATTACATGATCACAGCAATGCTTCATTCACCATGTTGTCCTTTCATACTATTTACATCTGTCGTGACCAACTCTCTGCTTCATCAATTTTGATTAAATTGATTACTTTTTAATATGTGAAAATAGTTTGAAGAAATGAAACATAGTTTTTAAGTTTATGCTGCAAACCTCAATCTGACCCTGGCTATTATTTGTAGAATGTCACTTAGATTGAGGTACGACACGTCGAAAGAAACAATAGTTCCCAAGAGAAGAGATTTAATATTAGACGCCCTGTTAGAAGGAAACTTTGTGGGAGTTTTTAATGAGTTCCATTGTGACCAAAGGAATAAAATAGAAAATGTCAACGCCCTACGTGCAGCTGCTTTCTTGCTGTTGGGAAGAAACAATCAATACATTTGTTTGAATCTCCAGGTCAGGTTCCTTGTTATTGTGAAGGAGGAGCTATTGCTACTCTTTGTTTGAGCTGTTTGTGATAATATTATGTCTTTGTGAAACATATTTATGGGTGGTGAAGTTAATGAAACATATATAACCCTTGAAGGACATGTAAGTTGGACAAATACAGGCATATTTATTTTGCAGTCATGCTAGCAGCGTATGTTTTGTATTGTCGTCTCTAACCTGACCATTGTGTATCTCATATGGACGCACAGAAACCTCCATGAGCCATGTACATTTTCATCGCCGCTTTGCTTCTGAACTCTCTTGTTTTCAGCACCAACATCTATCCAAAACTACTTTCGGATTTTCTATCTGAGAAACAGACTGTATTGTATTCAGCTTGTTATTTTCAGTTTTTTCTCTTTTATTCTCTTAGCGGCTCAGAGTTTTTACTGCTGGCAGCTATGGCCTACGATCGTTATGTGTCTATATGTAAACCTTTACAATACGCAACAATAATGGGGGGAACACGGTTAGTATTTTCCTGAGTTTGGCTTGGCTGGTGCCTGCCAGTGTGACCGGTGTGCAGGTGGTACTCAGTTCCAACATTAAACTGTGTACATTGAATTTGGATGGGATCTTGTGTAACAATTCAATTTACAAAATGTACTGTGTAAGCTCAAAGGTGCACATTGTGTTTGGGGCTCTCTCTGTGGCTTTCACTGCTATTTTTCCCCTGATTTTCATAGTTTTTAGTTACACCAGAATATTGATCATATCCTATCGCAGCTGTAAAGAAGTCAGAAAGAAAGCTGCTCAGACCTGCTCGCCCCACTTGTTAGTGTTGATCAGTTTCTCCTGTTTGTGTGCGTTTGATGTCATCATAGTCCGACTGGGATCTGACCTTACAAAGTTAATACGTTTAATAATGACTTTACAGACAGTTTTGTATCATCCTCTATTAAACCCAGTCATATACGGTTTAAAAATGAAGGAAATATCTAAACAATTGAAAAGGTTGTTCTCTCAAGCTAAAGTAATACACTCCTAAAGTTTATTATGTCAACGTGAAATTATTTGACACATTCTTATACATTTGTATTGTTATGCAAAATAAGTAAATGTGCTATGATTTACAAAAACCTTTTTATGAAGAGCATTGTTGTCTAACTAATGTAAATTTTCTGGTTAAATTTTGCATAGCTTCTTTCTTAAGTTTGTGTTGGGAAAAAAAAACCTATGGTTGAAATACACAAAAGTGTAAAAACATGAACATAAATAAAAATCTGATCCGGAGAAAGTGAGTTAAAGTTGGCCTAAAGTATAAAGTAAATTAAAGAGAAAGAACTGTAGAGTGTCTTAAAATAATTAACATTACCAGACTCTTTTGACTTTTGAATTAAAGCCATTTTTTCTTCATTAAAAACCTCTAACTATGTTGTTTTTATGTCAATGATGTATTCCTGCTCAAGCATGATTATATATAATACATAAATTTAATTCCACTTAATACTTGACTACTGGTTCAATAAAGCTATACTGATGAAGCATACATATTACAGGTTAACTGTGTTTTCACTGCTTTAATATCTGAGATAAGTCAGAGAAAACTGCGACAGCAGTATGTATGTATGTCCATTATGTCCATACATAATGGACATTATGTATCACGTTGGGAGTTTTTATTGTGTTTCAGATTCCGAGGCGGTGTTTGACGTAAATTTTACATGTATAAATCGTGTGCACACAGAAATGACAGGTATCTCAGGTATCAAATGCATAGCAAATGCATGGTTAAAGGGCTGCTCAGGTAAACCTACAAAGAAACTTGGTACTTTCAACTTTCACTTAAAATTAATCAAATACTCAAACCAACAACTCCAGAACAGTCATGCAGACGAGTCACTAAAAGTCACTACAATGTGGTCATATTCCGTTTGACGAATGCCAGCCACTAAAGGCAGCTTGTCCTTTTCAATACAGCACTAACTTTAAATTGAATTTAGCAAAAATATCTGCATTTTGACTGATCACACAATTGCACTAATGGAAACAAGCTAATTTTGACAAAACTCACAAATTTTGACATAAAGCTGTCGCTTAGGATCAGGTTTTTTTTTTTTTCAGCCATCTTGAAACAGATGTATTTAGCAAACCTACAATGGACACACTTTTTTTGCATCACATTTGTCTTGTAATCAACAGCTGCATGTTACTGCCGGCCATGTTTTATGCGTCAATCGTATTGAAGAAGAGGTTCCTACTCTTTCCTTTACCCCAACTCCATTACATGATCACAGCAATGCTTCATTCACCATGTTGTCCTTTCATACTATTTACATCTGTCGTGACCAACTCTCTGCTTCATCAATTTTGATTAAATTGATTTACTTTTTAATATGTGAAAATAGTTTGAAGAAATGAAACATAGTTTTTAAGTTTATGCTGCAAACCTCAATCTGACCCTGGCTATTATTTGTAGAATGTCACTTAGATTGAGGTACGACACGTCGAAAGAAACAATAGTTCCCAAGAGAAGAGATTTAATATTAGACGTAAGTGTCACCGCCCTGTTAGAAGGAAACTTTGTGGGAGTTTTTAATGAGTTCCATTGTGACCAAAGGAATAAAATAGAAAATGTCAACGCCCAACGTGCAGCTGCTTTCTTGCTGTTGAGAAGAAACAATCAATACATTTGTTTGAATCTCCAGGTCAGGTTCCTTGTTATTGTGAAGGAGGAGCTATTGCTACTCTTTGTTTGAGCTGTTTGTGATAATATTATGTCTTTGTGAAACATATTTATGGGTGGTGAAGTTAATGAAACATATATAACCCTTGAAGGACATGTAGAGTTGGACAAATACAGATATATTTATTTTGCAGTCATGCTGGCAGCGTATGTTTGAATATTGATCATATCCTATCGCAGCTCTAAAGAAGTCAGAAAGAAAGCTGCTCAGACCTGCTCGCCCCACTTGTTAGTGTTGATCAGTTTCTTCTGTTTGTGTGCGTTTAATGTCATCATAGTCTGACTGGGATCAGACCTTACAAAGTTAATATGTTTAATAATGACACTACAGACAGTTTTGTATCATCCTCTATTAAACCCAGTAATATATGGTTTAAAAATGAAGGAGATATCAAAACAAATGAAAAGGTTATATTTCATCAAACTAAAGCTCAATAGTGACAGAGTTGATGTATTGATCTTGGACTACCATCTGACACTTACTGTTAGTATTTCTAACTTTTTTTAAGATAATATCAAAATGTTAAGATGTACATGTGTACTTTAAGTGAAGTATATGTGAATTTTCCAAAAGGCTGACAAAAACAACAGTAACATAAATTTGTTTAACCAGAGAATCTTGAAGACCATCAATCTCATGTTGAACTTTTTATGATTCGCTCAAGTTCCTAATATTCTGCTTTTGGTCTTTGAATTAAACAAACATTAACCAAATTTGGTTGATGTTGGATTCTTACTCCAGAACACATGTACATGTAGCTGTGCACAAACTTGGAAATGTTAAATGGACCGAACTTGTATAGCTCATTTCCAGTCGTTTTGACCACTCAAAGAACTTTACACTAGAGTCACATTCACCCATTCACACACACATTCATACACCAATACGCAGACCAGTAGGCAATTTAGGGTTAAATGCCTTGCTCAGAGGCACATCGACATATGGCAGGAGGAAGCTGGAATGGAACCTACAACCTTCCGATTGCAAGACGACAACTCTGCCACACAGCCACAGTCGCCCCTGTCATCGTAAGCCCGATAAAGTGTCAAAACGATAAAAAGTAAGACAAAAGCAATCAGTGGAAGTCGGTTTGGAACATACATGAAGTTTAAATGATAACATCCTCAACGGTATGGACATTAACGTCTACCACAATGATTCATGGTGCAGTCCCCGACCCCTAACAACATAGTTCACTAAACATAAGAAAGGGTTTAAAAAGGTCAACCTCACAATGGACTTCTTAATTTATGATGACCCAATATGAACACACACAAAAATAAATTTTGTTGAAATAAAGGCCTAATTTCCAGAGTATTCTCAGTTGAACTGGGTAAACCAGTCCCACGCTATGAATAGTGTGTTCGATTTAGGCCAGAGAATTCAAATTTACTTATTAGAAAACACATAAGTAACATTTCTTTAAGTCTGCTTTATCTTAGATGTTGTGAGTTTGAATTATTTAAATTGGCTAATTAATGCAAGACAGTTGAAGAACTGGAACAGCATTGAAGGCCTCCAGAGGTATAATCCTTGTAGGATAAAGCAAACTGATAAAAATGTTTGCGCAAACTGAGACCATGCAGTCTGAAGTCTTGTGTTTGTGCAAGGCCTCTTAGCAATTTGTCTAACCGAATGAACATCGGAAAACATTTATGGACGAGGTAAATATTACCTACATAACGCTAACTGGTTATGTAGAAATGAACAAGCTGAAGTATTTGTATTTTACTGTGATTTTGATGGTTTATATTTTAACATTCTTCAGTAATGGAACTATCGTTTATATTATCTGTTTTCACAAAAACCTCCATGAACCGATGTACATCTTCATTGCTGCTTTGCTATTTAACTCTTTTGTTTACAGCACGACTGTTTACCCAAAGCTTATGATCGACTTTTTATCTGAAAGGCAGATCATAAACTATTCTGCCTGCATTTTTCAGTTATTTATTTTTTATTCTGTAGCTGGTACTGAATTCTTCCTGTTAGCAGTCATGGCTCTTGACAGATACGTGTCAATATGTAAACCTCTCAGGTATCCGACTATCATGAGAAAACCTACGGTGACATCTCTCCTGGTTCTGGCCTGGGTTGTGCCCTCCTGTTACCTTGAAGGAGAAGCAATACTGATCAGCAAAGTTCAATTATGTCGTTCAGATTTGGATGGAATATTCTGTAACAATGGCATTTTTGCCCTTCACTGTGCAAAATCCAGACCACTTACAATATTTGGGATTGTTTCATTGATAAGTCTTGTAATGATTCCTGTGCTGTTCACAATTTTTACATATGCAAAGATTTTAATTACCTGTTATAAAAGTTCAAAAGCATTTAGAAGAAAGGCTGCTGAGACGTGTGTGCCTCATCTGCTGGTTTTAATCAACTTCACCTATTTGTCTACATACGAAGTGGTCATAGCTCGAGTGGAGTCAGATTTTCCTAAATCTGCTCGCTTCATCATGACAATGCAGTTACTCGTGTTTCAACCTTTGTTTAATCCATTTATATATGGCCTGAAAATGAAGGAAATCTCTAAACGTTTAAAAATTTTGCTCTCTTTCTCCAAACTCTAAGAATTACGTATCTCTGCGAATGTAGCTTATTATTTCTGAGGTTAAATCCTACTTTTTTTTGTAAATATAAGAAATGTTTTACATTAAGACATTTGAAATGCAGTAAACTTGTATGTAATTGTATCAAAGCTGTTGTTGTGATGTTTTCTTGCCTTTGTTTTGGTAAATTTATTTTCCACAACTTTTGCTCTAAAAATGACAGAACATATGTAAGTGAACAGCAGCAGCTTGCTGTGCAGGCCATACTGAGCTCCAACATGAAACTCAGCATCTCAAATTGTCAAGGAGTGTTTTGCAACAACTGATATAATATTGATCACAAAACACTATTTATAAAAAATATCAACTTTTTCCTACACAATCCTAACAAACGTTTTTAATGGTGAAAAAAATAAAGGGTTTCTCTTCACAATATTTAGTAATTTATTTATTAATCTATTTGTATGATTTGTCCTTTAAATTGCCTTTTATATTATTTTTCGGTTTCAGGAAATGATTGAGGGATGAAGAGACTGATGTCTGGTTCTCTAGGTTCTGACAGGTCTGCGGTTCCTCTCCTGATCCATTCTGTCTGATATCAAACTAGGCCACTGAATACCACCGACATGTTTTTTAATGCCCCTATTAAACGCCACTGTGATTTTTTTTAGCCGGGAATGTTCGTCTTCCCTCTACTGTGTATTTTCGCCAGAGATTTTGCTTCTCAGGATGGTGTGTAGTATATCGGGTGGACATTTTGAAAAGTTCATAGCAGCTCACCGCAGCTGCGCAGTGTCCGTCTCTAAGTTGCCATGACAACAGCGTCAGTTACTCGGGTTGGGGGTTGACGGCTCCTATTGAGGTCAATTTAGCTGACTTTAATATTTTGTAATAATGTTTTTGTCATTATTATTACACTTGTTGTTGAGATGTGTGTGATAGGTGTGTCTATCAAACATTTCAAGCAATACGGAATAAATCGCGTCAATAAGGGGCAGAGACAACGACAACCAGCTGTCATTTTAGGCTAGCTTAAGCTAACCTGAATATTTACAACTCTCTTGTTGAAACACTGACATTACTTACCGTCTGTCTTTCACCCACTTTGAAAAGCTTTTCCTCGTCTCTCCAACATCTTTATTCCTCCTCCTCTTCCATTTTCTGTTTTGTACCCCAGAGTTTTTTTTCTGCCGAGCCATTTTTAGCTCCCTGTTGTCGACAAAAAAAACCCCGCGTTCTAAAAGGGGCGCGTGCCCAGGCTAGAGGACCGGAGGAGCTAGCGGCTAGGTAATATACTTAGCCGCTAGCCTAATCAGTGCTGTTCCTCTGTTGTTGATCATTTCATACACAAACAGCTACATAACATACTGACTAGTGCAGCAGTGTGCCTGCTGTGCAGGTAGTACTGAGCTACAATATGAGGCTCTGTATATCATTTTTTTGTTGGCTGTCAAAGTAAAAATGGAAATTGTATGTTCGGCCTCAGTTATCGAGAAATGCCTGCCTGCTAGAAACGCTCGACTAAACAACAGAGAGGATGTCATGCCTTCATCATGTCACACATGATGATGGATGCCTCATCATGTGTGACATAATCATGACATAATAATTATGTACAAATTGAGGTAAAGTGCAATTAGGTCAACAAGCAGATTGTTGACCTAAGATTGTTGTCAACAAGCTAGCCTTCTTGACAATTGTCTTCGTCAGTGCACACAGGCAAAAAGATGAATTGGAATTGTATTTGAAATTGAGCTTCAATTCTGCTGTTAAACCCAATTTCTGTTAAAAAAGAATGTAATAAACAATATCCAAGTAATTGTTTTTTGGAAATGTAGTAGATGAATGTGTATTCATACCCCAAGACCATTTACAGTTGAAGCCAAATTTATTCACACAGTCATTCAGGTTCAAAATCACTTTTTAATTTTGTCAACGTGAGTTTTCTGACTAGTTAATATTGACGTTACAGAGCGGTCCAGCCAAAGCATAAGGGCTAATGGAGTAAAATGGAGGGGTGTAAAGATTAGGGCGATGCCAACAAGGACTTCCAATCTTTTGATGCTCATCACCAAACAAATGGTTTAAAATCTGCAAATAAAATTCTGTTATAATTGATGCTTTCATTGTTTTGCATTGTCCAATTAGATTTTTTTCTGTTGCGTCCCTGCCCATTCTACCACAATGCTCAGATATCTGTACCTGGATGTGTCTTATGATTGTGTACAATTCCATTAAAACTTAGGAAATTTCTTGCATTTGTTTTGATGTCGTGACATACCGGACATTTAACACACAAAGGATGAAATCCAGCCTTAGTCCCAAGATGCACCTGAAGTGTCCACTTCCACAGTGGACACACCCAGGTAAAATAAGGACATTTGATTACCCTTTTGTTATGCTAAAAAATCTTAGCATTTGTCAATAATGACTCACTGGTGGAAGTGAGAGCGTTGCGCAACACAAATAATCATCCGACCAGAAGACAGTGGGCTAAATAGTGCAACATAACAAAGCTCGGGGAATTTTAAGATACTCTAATCACTAGGTGAATAATTATTCAGATGATAATGTAGTGCATCACATTTACTGTAAGGAGTGTGGGAAGACAATTTTGAATTGAAACTCTGAAAAACCTCAGTGCCTCTAAAACACGACATGAACCAAACTCTATCTTTGATTTAAAAAAAAAAAATTCTACAGGTTGGCATGAATTAAATGTCACACTCAAATATGATGAATTGCTTATATTAAAATCCCGTGTTGTGTATGTTTCTAAGTCAGATTTTTTGTCAACTATCACACGCCGACGGTGTGTAATGGTTGACGGTTTATGTCTGGCTGGCTGACGCTGAGTGCTTGACGTGTAGAAAAATTATACCTCAGTGCAGGACGTCCCCAAGCGACGAGATCCTGCGAGGAATGAAGAGATAAATAATGAAAGCAAGTCGACTCACCAACAGTTTAAGTCGAGGTAAGAAGAGAAAACGTCATTTTGAGCTCTGGACTGAATATTTCTGTTTAAACTGAATAATTGAGAGACAAACACATTGATGGATGAGTTCAATGAGACGCTCATAACTCTGACTGGATACGTGGAGATGAATAAATACAGATACCTTTATTTTTTTGTTTTTTTTACAGTGTATGTTTTGATCATCTGCATAACGGTACCATTGTGTATCTCATCTGGACTCAAAAACCTCCACGAGCCGATGTACATCTTCATCGGTGCTTTATTGTTCAACAGCGTCATTTACAGCTCCACTTTTTACCCGAAGCTGTTGACAGACTTCCTCTCTGACAAACAGGTCATTCCGTACTCTGGTTGTATTTTTCAATATTTTGTGTTTTATTCCGTAGGTGGATCAGAGTTCTTACTGTTGGCGGTCATGGCTTTTGATAGATACGTGTCGATATGCAAACCTCTGAGATATCCAACCATCATGAGGAAAACTACGGTGAAACATCTCCTGGTTTTTGCTTGGCTTTTCCCTTCCCTTCATGTTGTCTTGCAAGCAGTACTGAGTACTAAATCTAAGATATGTGACCGCAATTTGGAAGCAATATTTTGCAACAACACTATTTACGCACTTCAGTGCATGAGATCAAGGACAGTGACTATAATCGGGGTTGTTATTTTATTCGATGTCGCGGTGCTCCCGGTGCTTTTCACAGTTTTTACATATGCAAAGATTTTTATAATGGCTTATCAAAGTAATACAACATCTAAGAGAAAGGCGGCTAAGACCTGCGTTCCACACTTGTTGGTTTTGATCAGTTTCTCATATCTGTGCGTGTATGATGTAATCTTAGCTCGAGTGGAGTCGCATCTTCCAAAAGCTGCACGCTTTGTGATGATGCTGCAGTTGTTTCTGTATCATCCGCTGCTTAATCCCATAATATACGGGCTCAAAATGAAGGAAATTTCTAAGCATCTGAAGACGTTGTTTTGTTCTACCAAAGTCTAGCTGGGCTTTTGTTGAATTGTTTTCACATTTTCACCAATGCTGTTTGTCTTATATTAGTAACTGGAGAGTACTGCGTGAAGGCAGTGGCTCCCAAAGTGTTTGTTTTGTTGCAACCTGAAGTGTGAAATAAACTTCAGTGGCGTTTGAAAACAAAATATGTGTTTAGGTTTATGTCTGGATCAACAATGTGTGTGTTGATTTTTTTTTTCTTTTGTGGTCGGGATTTATTGTAATTCGTAGGGGGACCCAAGAAGAAAATTCGGGAATCACTGCATTAAGGTCTGGAAGCAAACCGGCCATGTGTGTCTTTTTTTTTTTTCTCAGTTTGTGTTTCTTTGTATACTAGTTTGATTTGCTCTAGGTGGGATATTTGCTAAGTTCACTACTGGATACTTTTCTTATGCTGTGATTGATATCAATTATTACCTTGTATGGTTACAGAGATAAATAAAGCTGAACCTTTCCACCAGGCTTTTTTCAGAGCATTCAGTAAAAGCTAAATTATGACAGCATGACTAGAAATTTGGACGCCAGAGAATTCACCGGTAGGGTTTTCTTTTTTGCCTCCCGCTCCCCCCCAAAAAAATAAAATAAAAATAATTGAAGAGACAGTGCTGAACCACAGGCTCCGTTAGAGCCGCTAACGTGAGGGGCTGACTGTTAGCTGTGGCTCTGTGACACAAACATAAAACCCTCCAGTAAGTAAATACTAAAAGGAAAAGACATGCAAACCTTTTACTTACATTCACTGTTCGATAGGAAGAAACAAATTAACAAAAAAGATCAGACTTTGGCTGGATCATAATAAGTTGCTTTATTTAACAAAAAACTCCTACACAGTTTTTCATAGATTTAAGCTTTTTGTGTCAAAGGTAGCAAAACATCTCATTCATATTTAGCTCTTTAACTTTTAGTTAATTAGAAGAGTTTGAAACGGGGTTAGGATTAGGGTTAGGGCCGAGCAAGTCTACCCAACTCAGAGTCTGGGAGCCGAGAACAGAAAGCTGCCTTTATTTCTCACTGTCTTCAATGCAGAGCCTTTAAAGCCACAAAATAAATGTGAATATTTTTCTATATAAGCCCTGGTGCTGTAAATGTTACATTTAAATGATGATACTCCTCAGATATTCATCTCTATCTACCTGTTGGTTCTCAGTCACCCAGGACAAAATAAGTGGCTTAAAAATAAAGGGACTTAACAAGTTATAATTTAAACAGCACATGACTTGTATTGGGAGCCATTTCAATAGATCACTGTTTATGAGGAATTTTATTAAGGAGTTACTCAAAGCTTTTTTATTTAGAACCTTAAAGTTTTGTAAAGTGCAATAGAGATTAGATCAGTGAAAAATACTGATATAGAAGCAACATTTTAATTTTAGGTTTTATTTTTCAATAGTTTGCTTACTAAGAAAAACACATTTGATGTGCATTACTAGTCATTTTTGGTCCTGCAGCTTGAATGTGGTTTTAAAACTTTTTAAATCTCATTTTACTTTACATTTCACTGTAACGATCCCCCCAAATCAGTCTTAAGAAACCTTCCTGTTTATGGTCCCCCCGCCCTCGATAATGAGATGGGTGACTTGGGTGACTCTATAAGGGTCATGACCCCACTGAAAAGCCCCATTGCATTTTTATTAATCATAAAAATGTGCACTGCTTAATGGAAAATAAAATAATAAAAAAAAAAAAAAACTCAGATATATGGTTTTTGTGCCATGGCAAACACAGATCCAGTAATGAGGGTCCTGCAGGTCCAGGACTCAACTACGCCCTCTGGTGGCTCCAGAGCAGGGAAAAACTACACACACAAACACACACACAACACCCCAGATTCCTGACATAATTTCTCCCAAAAAAAAGGTTGTAGCTCTAAGAATCACCTCTCCCACTATTTTATTACATTTATTATTGTTATTGATAAATGATAACTTTAAGATGATTATATTGCACGTTTTGTAGTCATACCAACCACTGAAAGCACTTTACGCTACTTACGAAAGCCATTGGTATCACTACACCAATAAGCGAATTGGTAGAAAGTTGGCTTGATGTGACTGACGTGGGAAATGAACGTGACCTTCAGTTTATATTTTTTTAAAAAGCCCAAAGGCACTTGTAAATAAAATGTATGATGATCACGCCTTACTTTCCATCTTCCCTGAATACCTTAATCTCCTTGACAATTTTTTTTTAAATTACGATTCATGTCATTGCATGAGCCTTTTGTTATTAAAGAGATTGATACTAGCCTCATCTTACTTCCACATATTTTACTGACCAGCTACATCATTTTTAAATATAGAAAATTACAAATGATTCAAGTAAACACCATCTAATTTTTAACTTGCATTAAAAAATGTTTTATGCCGTTTTAACTTGTTACTTTAACACTTTCTTAGTCAACACCAATCACTACTTCACATGTGGCTGATGCTGAGTTTGAAACATTGTGACGTACATCCTTCAGAGCTGCAAGTCCCCAAGTTGAGATCCAGCGAGAGATAAAACCAACCCACTGACAAACACTTCAGTTTCCATCCAGCGAATGACGAGAACACAACATTCGTTTCACCGCCAACACACAAGACAAACAGATTTATGGACGAGCTGAATGTCAGCCACGTAACTCTGACCGGATACGTGGAGATGAGTAAATACAGATACCTTTATTTTTCTGTTTTGTTCACAGTCTATGTTTTGATCCTCTGCAGCAATGCTACCATTGTGTATCTCATCTGGACGCACAAAAACCTCCACGAGCCGATGTACATCTTCATCGCAGCGTTGCTGTTTAACTGTCTCCTCTACAGCACCACCGTCTATCCAAAGCTTCTGATCGACTTCTTGTCTGAGACGCCCATCGTCACCGTGTCGAGTTGCCTTCTGCAGTTTTTCATGTTTTATTCTATCGGCGGCACAGAGTTCTGGCTGATAGCGTCCATGGCTTTCGATCGATACGTGTCGATATGTAAACCTCTGCGATATCCAGCCATCATGAGAAAAAGTACCGTTAAAGTGCTGCTCCTTCTGGCCTGGTTTGTGCCCGCCTGTCACATTGCACCAGAAGCAATCCTGAGTGCTCAAACTCGGATATGTACCTCAGATTTGAACGGAGTGTTTTGCAATAACGCCGTGTTCACCCTCCACTGCGCAAAACCAAGTTCGCTTACTGTTTTAGGAGTTGTCGCTTTGGTAGATCTGGTCATGCTCCCGATGATTTTTACAGTTTTTACGTACACAAAGATTTTCAGAATGTCTTATCAAAGTGGAAAGTCATTCAGGAGGAAGGCTGCTGAGACCTGCGTGCCTCATCTGATTGTTTTGATCAGCTTCTCCTATTTGGCTGCGTATGATGTGGCCATAGCGCGAATGGAGACCGATTTCCCCAAAACTGCACGCCTAATAATGACGATGCAAATATTTCTGTATCACCCTTTATTTAATCCATTTATCTATGGGTTAAAAATGAAAGAGATCTAAACATTTAAAAATGTTGTGTATAACAAGAGTATAACTGCAGATGTAATTATGTCACATTCTACAGCGATTGTTCAAAGCCTTAAATTGCTGGTTCAAAATTTATAATAATAACAAAGTTGTGTAATTGAAATTTATAAGAATTCACAGGACAAATAATGTATTTTGAAATTTCTTACTGTCTCTGATGTTGATATATTTTATGTTGGAATTAGAGCAATTGCTTATTTATAGAAAAACACCCTTTGTAAGTATTTATCAGTTTAGTCTTTCAAGTTCAGTAATTTTCAGAATGGAAATAAAAGTGAGTAGGAAATAGTAATTTGTTGCTCGGGCCTGATAACAGACATATGTGATGGCAACATATTTCAGACTTTAAAATCCAACAGTAAGGAAGGTTTTTTCCAAAGTTAGTATTTGGCCAGTTTTATGTTGTGTTGATAAGACCTGGAAGTAGAGACAAGTACATACTTTTGTATGCTTTATGGTTTGGATCCATAAAGCGAGATATGTCCTGTTTTTTTTTTTTGGTGTGGAGTGGCATGTTCCTAGTGATCGGACACATAAAAGTGTATCATGTGTGGGACTCAGTTGAAAATCCTTCACTTCAGAATTTTAAGCAGTTTAATGGCGAGGGTGGCTGCGGAGTCTGCCTTGACTCTGGGATGTCAATAAGCAGAAGGGTTTGTGCGTGTCCGCATGAGAGACCAAGTGAGCAAAATCAAAAAAACGACAGTAAAAATTTGCTGACAAACAGCAGAGAGAGAAGGGGAAAGCATACTGGGCCTAAGGGCATTTTCAACGGTAGTAGTTTTTTCAGTCAAAACGTGATGAATTGGTTGATGTTAAAAATGGTGAACTGATCTTGTTGAGGGTGAAAACAGAGGCAGTATCAGACGGCTAGCTGGACGCTCCTTTGCTAAAAGCCAAAAGTTACACTTTGCAGGTGAACAAAGCTGTTTTTAAAGTTAGATTGCTTTATTTTGTATACTGTTTACTATATTTTATCAGTGGAATACTGTGGACTGGTTATTAGCATATTTGCAAATCAAAATGTATGGGTTTTCTTTTGGTCTATCTAGTTGATATTGATCATGTGAGAGCCACAGTGATGTCACTGTATTGTGAAAGACACTAACTCGTGAGGCAGGCCTAAAAGGACGACGTCCCTGGAGGGGAAAGCGATCTAATAAAAAACTTTCCACAGACCACCAGCCTCATTACGCACCAGATTCAGGGTAATGAACTAGATGCATGCTGTGAACTGGATTTTGATGAAGCTGTCTCAGTTGTTCATGTTCTTTGCTTACTGACTGAAACTTAAAAGAATGTGTTTAGCACAATCATGGATAGCAAAGTAAATGTTACCTACATAACTCTGTCTGGATATGTAGATCTGAACAAATTCAGATATTTTTACTTTTCTGTTATTTTCACAGTGTACATTTTGATCATCTGCAGCAACGCCACCATTTTGTATCTCATCTGGGTTCACAAAAACCTCCATGAGCCGATGTACGTCTTCATCGCAGGCTTGTTGTTTAACTGCCTTCTTTACAGCACCAACATTTACCCAAAGCTTCTGGTCGACTTTCTGTCTGAAGAACCGAAGGTATCGTATTCGGCCTGCCTCTTACAGTTTTTCATGTTTTATTCCGTGGAGGCTCAGAGTTCCCTGCTGGCAGCCATGGCCTTCAACAGATATGTGGCGATATGTAAACCTCTGAGATACAAATGTATAATGAAGAGAAGCACTGTCAGTGCGCTCCTGATTCTAGCATGGTGTTTTCCTGCCTGCCATCTTGCCGTGCTGGCCATACTGAGTGCCAAAGCTAAGCTGTGCAACTTTAACTTGGACGGGATCATTTGCAACAATAAGATGTACACTGTCCACTGTGTGAGATCGAGAGCGCTCACCGTATTTGGGGTCGTTGCTTTATTCGATTTCGCGATTCTTCCCACCCTCTTCACAGTTTTTACATACGCAAAGATATTTGTGACGTCTTATCGGAGCTGCAAAGAATCCAGGAAAACGGCTGTGCAGACCTGCGTGCCCCACCTCTTCGTTCTGACCAGCTACTTCTGTGTGATGACATACGACGTGATCGTGGCTCGAGTGGAGGCGGACTTCTCCAGGACCGCAGGCTTTGTGATGACGATACAAACGTTTCTGTATCACCCTCTGATCAATCCGTTCATGTACGGGTTCAAGATGAAAGAGATCAATAAACACCTGAAGACGTTGCTCTGCTCAGCCAAAGCTTGATGGAAGCAATTCTTTCTGAAATTATTATATCCATAAGCCGGACATATTTTCAAAAATAATTTAAGCACTCAATTTCATGTCTCATATTAGCCTGACTTGCAGGCTTTCAGACTGTGTAATAAACAAACACTTCTGGCATAATTTTTACGGCATCCCTTAATGACCCAAACGTGCAAAATGGCTGCAATTGTGTTTAGTTCGTATTTTGGGGTTTTTTTGCGATGTGAAAGGAATAATTATATACGAGCCAGTCTGTATATGGGTCGGATAAATGTAATAATGTATGAAGGACATTTGGAGAAAGGACCATTTTGACACGATTGTCTTTCCACAATTTGCCTTGTTTGGATCCAGAAAGACTGAGAGACATTTTTCCATTGTCTGTAAACATCTATATAACTTGCACAAGAGGTTACATGTCAATGTTGAATTTGTAGACTTCATCAAAATATCTTGCATTGTCTGCCTTTTCCTTATTTGAGGTTTTCTGAATCCTGTCATCTGAGTCTGTTTATGTTCTTACTTTTGTTTGATTAAATGTCATCACGGTTTTCCATTCATCTTGTCTTTAAAAGAAAAACAGCTTGTGACTAGTGGATAAAACAAGGCCACTCTAAATATTTGTGCTGTTTATTTATTTTAGCCTTTCTGGGGATTCACTGACGTGCTTCAACGTCATTGTTGTATCGTTCTCATGATGTTGCAGAGAGGTGGAGGCTTGAGTTTGGTGAGTTTGGCGAGTTAATGATGAAAGGAAAGATTAAAAATAAGACCAAAACAAATCCAAAAGCATCCAGGCGGGACACAGGAAACAGGAAATCACAGAACACTGACAGGAGCAGACATGAGGACCCGGAGGATTGTGGGTGAGACAGAGGAGCTTAAACACGAGAAGTCCTGGGCTGATGAGTCGATTGGTTACAGGTGAGGGTAGAGAGAGGACGTGGCACTAGGTAATAAAACCAACACCAAAGAATAACTTTGACAAAAGAGACATGATAACCTGGAACAGAAAATATCTCGAAACGAGAAAAATTATAACTATAAACCCTTACGGAAGAACAAAAGTGCAAAAACAAGGCAACTTTAGGAACATTGTCTTTTGTTTATTGAATGTGAACTTTCCTCATTTAAAGTTAGACAATAAAATGACAAGTTTGTTTCCCCACAGTGATCTTTTAGCACAGGATCAAAGGTAGCCGTCAGCGCCACTTCTTTTAGAAAGCCTGATGTAATGTGTCACCGGAGCACCAGGTTTGTTTCCAACAGTCACTGGATGATGCTAATTAAGGCAGAGTTTCATCAATGATTCTGATTCTGTCTTCTTTTTGAGACTGAAAGGCCCATTTCAGTTTCATCAATAATTTTACCTTTTGAAAGACAGAAAGCAAAATTCTTATATTTTACCATATCATTACAGTGATCTCCACTAGTGTCCGAATGTTAGCCCAATCGCAGTTTTGCTGATTTTTGGGACAATAATTGACAGCTGGAGCAATAGATTGCTTCTTTAGTTCATGAATAAGTCAGGCTGCTCCACAGGACTTTTTCCCCACTGACCAACTGTCATGATGTCAGTGTGGACATCATGGCAATGAAAGCTTTGACCTTCATGCCCATTGGGGAAGGAAAAGCTCTCCTTGACAGGGAGTTGTCCGTTCATCTCCTGCTCAGTCCCATCTAGATCTGAGAGGAAAGATGGCCTCTCAGCTGGGTAGGTAGGCGGAGCTGATGATCCGTGGCGTGAATGGGACTTTGATGTGGAAGCTTCTGAGGAAGAGACAAATAAAAAAAACAATGATTAGAAATGAGGCATTCTCTTAGGCCTCGCAAAGGCTGTTGCTTCTGCAGTCCTCTTCTCATTTCTTCAGAACTAAGGAGGCCAAATGCTCCCCTGTGGATTCTTCTTCTGCCTCCCGAAACCCACTGAAATGTTTCCAGCAGTGAAAGAGTTCGAATCACGACAGATAACCCTCTGGTGTGGCTGATATCTGGAGTCCAATCTAAAATTATAGAGAAAACGCTGCTGGTTTAATGTCACTAACAATTATTGCGATTGTTTTGTTGCTCAACGTACCAATGGGTTCATTTTGAATGTGGCGACTGCAGGTCCGTTTCTCAACACGGCTCAGGTGTTCTTTTATAACAGGGTCAAATTCTCTCATCAGTTCGTTTTCTGAACCTATTTAAGAAAATTGCCATTTGACGGTGAAAACGGAGCTTCTGTGTGTCCCCTAAGTGACAAATTTCCAAACCCTACTATATGATAGCAGGGAGACGGATCAGCGCAGCCCTCCATCTTATTCTGTCAGCCTCAAAAAGCGCCATCTCAAAATGGCCTTACTCCCCTCTGTTATTGGAAATATTGCATGCACACACACCTGGAGGACGTAGCTGTAAATTGCCCTTCGTCCTCAGGCTTGTACAACACACGCAGAGATGCATTGGTGGGTGAGGACGAGGACGGCTCCTGTCCGTCGCTGAAGACGCCTGGTCAGCTGAAGAAGAGGATGGCTCCTCATCCCGGCCTGCGGCAGCTGGTGCACAAAATATCTCAGAAGTGACCCTGAATTAGCATCAAAATACCAAATGTAAAAACTCTGATGCACCACGAATCAGTTGTGTCATCAAACATTCATAATTCTACCCCTCATTATCTGCTATAGAGAGAAGTCTATAAGGTGCTAACCCCATGGACAGACTCCTTTAAAATAGGTTTATTCTTTCATATCTAAACACGTCAAGCTGTAGTAAGAGAGTAATCTCTTTTTACAGGTAATTAGTTACACTTTTAGCATAATTGTGCTGCATTTGTAGAATATTGTGGTTTGTTTGTCGCTGCCATTGAGCATGCACCGTTATACACTGCGTTTCCGTAACGATCACTCCGTCTTCTTTATCTTGCTTTGTATGAAATGCAATATTTCCAATAACATCGTGTGTCTGATACTGTATGATACAACAGAGAGAACAGTGGAGGCCTTCAGAGATTACAACCTTCAGAGGGGAGGGGAAGATCTTATATAAAACAATCACTCAGAAGACTCTCACTGCAGTTTTGTACATTCTGCTGATCACAACACACAAAATTCAACTGCAGGTAATGACAAGTAATGAGAATGGTAGAACTATTATGTGATAAAACTGTTTAAACTGAATTTACCTGTCTGTTAGTTGGCTGTAGAAAATATGGAGGACCAGATCAACATCACGTACATAACTCTGTCTGGGTATGTAGATCTGAACAAGTACAGGTATTTTTACTTCTTCATTGTACTCACTGTGTCTTAACAATCTGCAGCAACGTCACTTTTGTATCTCATCTGGGTTCACAAAAACCTCCATGAGCCGATGTACGTCTTCATCGCAGCTTTGCTGCTTAACGGTCTTCTTTATAGCACCAACATTTACCCAAAGCTTTTGGTCGACTTTTTATCTGAAAAACCGAACATATCGTATTCGGCTTGTCTTTTTCAGTTTTTTTTGTTTTACTCTTTTGGTTTTGCAGAGTTCCTCCTGCTAGCAGCCATGGCCTTCGACAGATACGTGGCGATATGTAAACCTCTGAGATACAAAAAAATTATGAGAAAAAGTCACGTGAATGTTTTCCTGGTTCTGGCTTGGTTCTTACCTGCTTGTTATCTTGCAGTGCAAGCCATCCTTAGTTCTAAAGCTAAATTATGCACATTTAAGTTGGCAGGGATATTTTGCAACAACACTATTTATACCCTTCAGTGTGTGAGATCAGCAACAATCACTGTAGTGGGGATTGTAGCTTTATTACACGTCGTAGTGCTTCCTATGATTTTCACGACCTTCACGTACGCAAACATATTTAGAATATCTCAGCGCAGCTCTAAGCAATCCAGGAAAACAACAGTGGAGACCTGCGTGCCTCACCTGCTGGTTCTGACCAGCTACTTCTGCCTGATGACCTACGATGTGGTTATAGCCCGAGTGCAGTCCGATTTCCCGCAAATTGCCCGATTCATAATGACGATGCAGATATCTCTGTATCACCCTTTGTTTAACCCGTTCATATACGGTTTCAAGATGAGAGAAATTAACAGACATCTGAGGAGATTGTTCAGCTCAGTAATTTAGCGATTTCATTTTATTTTTTATTTCATTGCTTTCGAATCTTTTTATTGCACCTCATTTTGGTCTTCAAAATGGAAACGGCATCATAATTCAGCTGCATCTGGATTCAATTTTAGCCGTGTTCATTGTTTGGATTGGGATGCGACTGATCGTTGCTGCGCTGCAGCAGCAGCAGGATGGAATCATGTCATCACATTAGGACAACGACTTTGCTTCCCAACTCCAAGGAATGTTTTGAACGTCCACTGAAAGCAACAGGAACACTTGTGGGCTGTGGGAGCCGTTTGTTCGTTCACCTGCCTGAACAGCGCCTCGTTTAACCCAAGCTCCATTTACCTTTTTTTGTAATTAAAGAATTTTACTGCGTTCCACTTTAGGAACACAGTTTGGTGTGTTTCCTGATTGTGTGTGTGATGCTGCATTATTGAAAATAAATACTATAAGGGAAGATATTTTTGAGAGATTAGTCATGCAAATGTCTAATTATTTGACTGGCTGATAGCCAGTAAAATAAAAAAAAAGAAGAAAAACTAAAGTCTAGACTGGACTTTTTTTTCTTAATAGGACATTTTCTCATAAAGAGTGAAGAAAAAACTTGCTTTGGCTTCATTTTTAAAAATCTGTTACTATGTTGTGTGTGTTTTAGCTGCTTCCTCGGCACATATGTGACCCTTTGGACTTTATACACGCATTTGTTGTACGGTGTCCGTCAAAAACTGGATGAGACACGGGTATGTAACTTTGTGAAAACGTAAACTTAATAAACTGCTTTTAAAACTTTCAAACACTTAATGGGATTTCAAGCTGGCTCCTCTTTGTCGCAAACTTTCAAACCTGACTTTGCTACACAGATTCTGACCAAAATGTAGGGAAATAACATTAGTCATATTCTCTTCATG